ATATAATATAATATAATATAATATAATATAATATAATATAATATAATATAATATAATATACTATGTATATATTCTCTATAATACAGAGATATGATAGTCTATATTCTTCAATATATACATCTTTATTTTATTATCTTCTATTTGTCATCCTATCCAATAAGAGCAACTCCACTTCTAGGCGCAATTCGCATCAATTTCTCCAAGTGTTTGTACAAGTTGAATGTGAAATCTCCCAGGTACACTAAAAGACATTTAACAGCTCATTTAGGGAATGCTTAACTGTAGTTAACTGCAGGTAGCTTAGCCTGACCTTCACCTCTACGGCGTCAACTGGGAGCACACCTGCTAGGAAGACAAATGCTAACATTTGACAGATTTGCTCATCAATGGACACGTGACGATATCGCAGCTACTGTCTTAAGAGCTCCATCAGGGCAAATACTTTATACATATATATGTATATGTGTATATATAAAGATGTATATATAGTTGAGGTGGGAGCCACGCAACTAGTGTCAAGAATCGCATAAATTTCCGATTTCGTTTTGGGGCATACAAAATACCATTTTTGGACTCCTGAAGTGTGCCATTTAATGGCCACCAAAGGTCACGTTCACACCATCCTAATGGCCAAAATGTCGTGAATGGATGGGGGCGCCCAACTGACAATTCAGGTAATGTGGATAATTTGCTGTCAATGATGTGTAACGCCGCCAACAGCAACAACAAATCTTTATGATGATGAACAGAAGGCGGCTGAATATATAGCTGCTCGTATTTGTTGTCAAACAACGAAGCCGTCTGCTAATAGCCCAGCTTCTCAGTTACTCCAGGGGTACTATAAATAAATGCCCAACTAGCTGTTAAGAGCAGGGAAATACATACATACATACATATTGTCGATCGACGACCGCAAGAGCTGTGTATGAGGGATGGCCTGATAGATGCTTTGTTATTTCCATTTAACTGCAACTGTGAGCAAATCAAATTTTGACAAGCTGTTGACTTCTTGGTTAGCTGCTAACAGATCCATAGAATCACAGATCAAAGTCTATAAACTCCATAAATCAATGGCATGGACATCAGGGCATCAGTCGGCAAGATGTCACGCACTAAACTATAAATGCAATTGTGGTTTATTCTGTGATGCCCATTGAAAAGACAGCTATAGGGTATATTGATGTCGCAGAAAGTGGGCGGAGGGACGGAACTTTTAAGCTGCATACTAGATAAACGTGATTAGTCTTCGTCTAAGTTTCTCAATTATATAGTAGAGAATAATAAGATTGGGCTTCGCCTGACTTTCTCTCTGAATGCGTAGCTCTTGAGTACTTTATAGGAATGTATATACATATGTAGGTATATTCTGGACAAGCACAGCCTTAGTCTTAGTAGCTTAACTTATATTAAATAACCAATCATATATATTATTCTATATAACATAAGCAACAAAAGTTTATAAAGTTCTTTAATATATCATACCATCATCATCAATAAAAACTTTGTCTTAGATACATGAGTCTAACACTAAGCCTATTAAAGCTATAAACTAGATACTAAATATATACAACATCAGCTCTTCAGGACAGAGCCAGGGTATGTTGTCGTCTGTCATTTCCAGCATACACACACTTGTTTTTTTACGATGAACTACAAGGAAAACAAGCGAACGTGACTAACCGATCGATCAGATCACAACAAAACCAAAACATTGTTCTTTCGTTTCAGAGCGCAATAAAACGTAAATTATATATCTACATATATATATTTACACATATATCTATATCGTATGTAGAGATCTATATATTTGTTTCCAATACTATTCACAACATTGTTCTAAAAATAAGCAGCAGACTGCAGATCAATTGAAGAGCTACGATCCAGAGTAAAGTCTGTCTAGGATACACCCATTGTTTTATGACCCATTTTGAACGCGGTAAGCGATCGTAAAATCTTTTGCATTCCCAGACAGAGAGACAGAGCGAGAGAGAGAGAGCGTGAAAAATCCTTTTTGTACTCCAGACTCGAAAGACATATGTGAACTTCAATTGGTCTTTGGTATTTGGTATTGATTGTTTTTATTTCCTTTAAATGAGACTCTGCTTTCTAGAGTCGAGTCCATTGCCATGCAGTCGATCGTAAAACAGTTTGTAGTTCGTCCTGTGTTTTAAATGTATACAACAATCATTTTACGACCTTCGACTTTCGCTTCACTCTTTAGGAACTGTGGGCGCACTTGACTCCCAGAGATCTCCCAGACTCCCAGACCAGCCAAATAGTACTCCTATAGAGTGCGCTTGTGAAAGGTCGTAAAACCTAAAGGAAATTGGAATATGTTCACAGATAGCAGCTGAAGAGATAGACCTCGTTTATCTCCAACAGCTCATATTTTTATAGTTGACCAAAATTAAAAAAAAAAAAATGTTTAATAGATATTAAATGGAATTTTCAAATGAATGAAAACTTCTATAAAACAAAACATATTATTTTATATTGTCATAATATAGACAGAAGGGAAGAGATAGCAATAATTGATCAATTACTATGTTTAAAGATAATCAGTTTTGTTTATATTATTTTATAAATGTATATATTTTTTATATATATTATATTATTGTTTATATAATAATATAATGCTAATAACTAAGTTAAGTTTTTCTTTTATATATAAATTTTATATTGTAAATAAAAAATTAAAATAAATAATTATTAAATATTAAGAGATATCATAATAAAATATATTTTTTATTAATTTCTTGATTGTAAGTTAGAAAATAATATATTTTAAATGCGATATAAATAATGTTTTAAAGCATTGCAATAATACATTAATCAATTGTCTTTATTTTAAACTTTTATGTATTTATTTAGTTTGTTCTAGGATTTTCATAATTATCTACAACAAAGAGATAAATCCAACTAGTTTACTAGACTTTAAATAAACATTCAGCTAGTTATTTAAGTTACAGAAATTGCATTGTTTAAAGTTTAATAGTGAGAATCAAAAGAATTCTATATTTTGTGTAGCTTAAATCTCATTTGTTGAAAAATTTGCTAGCCACATTTGTATATAAAGAAATTTGAATGCTTTTGAATACACACCCACATGAAAATTCATTGACTCCGCCCACAACAAGAAAACTCAGGCGAATGAGCAGAGATCTTCAGCAGAGAGATGACATGTGTGTGCGTGTATGTGTAAAGAGAGTCACGCCCCTGCTAGGAGCCATATGCACCAATAACATGTGTGCATTCAGTCCATATAGTCTATGTATGTAGATAGAAGAGGAATTGTTGTATTCCTTTTGGAATTGATCTAATAATTATAGGAAATATTGTTAATATTAGCTAAGGATCAATATAAAATACCTCTAAAGCAGATGCTCTCTTTATATTTACATACTTACCAGCATACTCTGCCTCTCTCTCTCTCTCTCTGTCACTCTCTCTCTATCTCTCTGCTTAAGTATTCGTGTATTTATAGTCTCTGTGTGTTCTATGTGCGTGTCTTGAGTATGTGTGAGTGTATGCTCTATTCACAAATACTTTGGATTTTCACTTGCAAGTGCTCTACCCTCCCACAAAAAAATCAATTTAATTGTCGATCGGTCTTCAAAGCGTACGCAACGCGTATCGGTTTAAGAAACTGCACTAAAATATAAACTACAAGAAAAATTATTTCAAATAACGCCAAGTGAAGTTTAAATAAAAAATAGCAGCAGTAGCATATACATATATATAGTAATATCTGCTATATCTTATATTATATATAAAAGAAAATCCAAAGTTCTTATAGGATTTTCCTAAATTTCCTTTTAAATATGTTACCTACATCATGCTATACAACTCCATCAGCTCTACAGGATAATGAGCAGTTGGTGAACTCCTTGCTGGCCTGTCCAGATTATCTGCGCGTCGGTCATCCTCTGGCTGCGAATGCCGTCGGACCCGTCAATATGGACGGGACATTGCCATGCAACAGTTTCCCATCTGCCTTCTATTACAATAATATGGATAGTTTTCTGGCTCTGCACAATAATATTTGGACCCTGCCCATCTCCTTTCTGCACAACAATCATCGTCCGGAGAAACCGCCTTTCTCCTATATAGCCCTGATCGCCATGGCCATAAGTAGTGCACCCAATCAAAGATTGACACTGAGTGGCATTTACAAATTTATCATGGATAAGTAAGTCTGAACATGATATAACGTATAGATAGTTTAATAGATGTAAATCGACATGGACAGTGCATAACCGTCTATAAATATATGTATTGGTATTTACATACACGCCTATAAGATTCTCGGACATCCCGCTTCCTATTTGCTTCTATGAATCTCAATGAATACAAAGGAATATCTATTGTTGTAAATAATCTATCAATTGATTCAGTTCAATTTAGGCATGTGTGTCTTAAGTATAAACTAAATAGGATCTTTTCTGAATCACATATTCAATAGGAGAATCTTATTTAATTTTGTATGTACATTTTTGAGTCTTATGGTATAAGAAAGTATCTTGGTATTTCATACCTCTAAGCTAGACTCTTCTATTCTTCGAATAAATTAAAATCCGAAATTCAATTTAAATTGATTTCTATATCGTAATTCATCCATTTAATCAATTATAAAAAAAATATTTTGCACACCTGATATTATTATATATATATTTTATAGCCTATACATATATCTAGTAAATAAGGTTGTAAATCTAGTTAAACTCAGATAGATATACTACAGATCGTTAAATAGTTATTTTACTATGAAGAACAATTATTTAATCAACAATCGTACGATATATAATATCTCAAGAAACTTGCAATAGGAAAAATGCTTCACCGCATACAAATTATTATTATATATATTCTATTACATATATCCGCCAAGAAATTTTCTCTTTTTGTTTACATTGAGCTGGGACCTAAAACTAGCTTTAAGTTGATTCGGATAAAAGAAAAAATATCTATTATATCTAACGGCATTCAAATAGTTCAAATATTTTCAGTTTTCTGTTTGTTTACAAGTCGTATATAAATAATAATATTAATTCTGAATTATCTACATACATATTTATTTAACTTGCCATTAAAATAAACATAAAATATGGAAATAAAGTTTTAAAAATAAATACATAAATATATATAGTATATATGTATATAATTGCCATTCGTAAACAACTTGAAGATGTCAAAAAGATTTTTGATTTAAATTTTGACGTCGCATTACTCTTGGCGCATTTCCAGTTTGGGTCGATATTAACTTTATCGGACTTTAAAGCTGATCAACAGAATATATTCTTATATATCTTACAGATTCCCGTATTATCGTGAGAATAAGCAGGGCTGGCAAAACTCCATACGGCATAATCTCTCGCTCAACGACTGCTTTGTGAAGGTGCCGCGAGATAAGAACACCATCGAGGATAACGACAGCGCCGGGAAGGGCAGTTACTGGATGCTGGATGCCTCCGCCACGGATATGTTTGAGCAGGGCAACTATCGAAGGCGACGTACCAGACGAAGGCACTGCTCCTCGAGCAGCAATCGCTACGAGCGAGAGCCGGGCAAGGTAAGCACAACGAGTCTTCAATCAGCAAACATTATAGACTAATCATTTACTACTCCTAGCACGATTCCAATGCCAGCAATGATGGCAGCAATGGAGAGGTGCGAACCTCGAGTGACGCCTTGGCTGACTTTGACCTGTTCTGCAGCGATGGTAGTGCAAATCCTGGTGCACTACGCCCCAACTACTCGGATCGCATCACAGAGCTGCATCGACAGTATCTCTCCGTATCCTTCGGTTTCAACAGCCTCTTCAACAACGAGCCAACGGGCAGGAATTTAAAGGACAGCAATGCAGCCGCCGACAGTCCATGCTCGAGCAGAACTGCAGAGCAGAGCACATCGGATAGCGCCTTGCGTGAAGATCTACATTCCCCAAGCGCCTTTACTCCAACGCCGGCTGGACGCGAGGCGACACTAAACGTTGACGCATTCAAAGGACTTCAGCAGCTGCTCGACACGACGAATAGATCGAAGACGAACACACTCTTTACAATTGAAAACATTATTGGCAAACCATAGCAATCATTAAGAATTCTAATTAAACCTGTTTTAAATCCAATAACACATGTCTAATCACTTAATTATGTGGATATCAGGAATACATCAAAGATAAACATTGAAGTCCAAAGCCGTATCGTAAAAAAATCCAATTTTTTGCATGTTTATAAATGAAAATGACAATATTTTTAGGACTTTTTCTTAACTTGTTTTTTTTTTTATTCCTCGAGTATAAAACAACTCCTCAGTTTCCCCATTAAATACATTTATTCGGGCTTCTTAGCCGAAAGCTGAGCCGGCTTCTTTGCCTTCGTTTGAACGGGTTTCTGGGAACGCAGAACGGCAGAGGCGCGACGCAGAGCAGCCTAGAAAAAAAAAAACAAAAATTGTAAAATATTAATAAAATTTTACAATACAATAGGATTTAATAATATAAACATATATCAGAAAGAATTCTCGACACGCCTACTTCAGCGATCTTGGTAGGTTAATTTCATCACATTGAGGATAGCCAAAGCAATTAAGCCCGTATTACCTGCAAGTAAACAAAAAATAATTGTTGTTAATATTTGATAAAAAAAAAATCATAATTAATGGATACTTAAAAAGAATCAGTTTAAATTTTCAACACAGCCTGTCAGCGATCTTGGTAGTTAATTGTAATATCATCACAACATAATACATTATTAATAATTAATACTATTAATTTCTATACCTGTGTCAGATCCTTGCGGTATTTGCTTCCGGTCAAAAGGTTCTTCAGCTTCTTCAAGGAACGACGGGGACCAGCCTTGAAGTTGACGCGCACCGTATTCTTAGCAGGACGCTGGGCATATTTTCCCTTCTTCAAGACAGTAGTGAAGCCTTTCTTATCAGCAGCGGGCACTACGCCAAGAGTTTTCTTATGCACAATACCGCTGTAGCGATAAGAGCTCACATTAGCCAAGTTATTGGGCTCCTTAAAAAGAGACAACATACATTTTGGTTAATTATACAGTTTCCTTACAATTCTCAACATATGCTGTTTGCCAATTATTTTTTCAGATTTATGTTACTATCATGTTGTATTCAAATATCATTGTGAAAATTAATAAATTGGAAACATCATTTAAAAGAAAAGAATTATATAGAATTCAGATTCGATTTATACTAACTGTGCTGAAGGGTTTCTTCACATCGCGCTTCTTCAACAAGAAGGCGTTGTTGTTGCGAATGATCAACCAATTGAGGTGCGAAGAGGTTGCCATCGTTCGTCTGCAAGAGAGTGGAATGAAATATATTAACAGCTATTCATAAAGTTTGCCCCTTAATGTTTTTGAAGCATTTTTCAGTCTTGGGTGATGAATATAGTCTTCAAAGAACTCTTCCGCCAAATCATTCATCATTATGTGATATGTTAACAAAAAATTCAATTGAAACGATTTACATACCTTCAGATATTCAATAGATGCAGCAACGGCGAGCACACATGAAATAAAAGTAAAATAAGATTAGTAATTACTTCACATTTAGAGTATATAACATTCAATTAGTGGTATCAGTCTTGGGTGATGAATATAGTCTTCAATGAACTCTTCCGTTATATCGTTCATCACTGTAGTTATTGTAGACCATTCTTTGAATGCAACATGTGCTCACCTTTAAGTCATAAACAGAAAAAAATCGGGGCAGGCCAACAGCATCGATAAACACAATATGAAAAGAGAATATATTTCAATTAGTTTTATATACAAATACATGAAATGAATAGATGACTTTTAAAATAAATTCGTCAGTCTTGGGTGACGAATATTGTCTTCAGAGAACTCTTCCGCCAATCCATTCACTATGGAATACAGTGAATTCCTAATAGCAGAAGCAGCCGCCATACACGTGTAGAGGTTAACACGAAGGTTTTACCTCGCATATAATGCACAAATGGAGCCATATCTATGATAAACAAGTCACGCCTGTAGCAGTTGAACATAACTACTATGTATTTATAATGTTCACTTCACTGTGCAAGCTATAACTTAACCAATTCAAGACATAATGCAAAATGCCCACCTTTTCTCGTTGAAAGACAAGCAGGAAAGAAATATGGCAGATACAGCGCAAGGTGAACTTGGCTGCGATTAAGCACGCAGACTTGCAATGGAACTCGTATCGATATGCATCAATTAACCATCGTGCACGGCAGCTATATCGATGTTTAGAGCCATCTCTACTTGTCAGACACATTTCCGAAGGTCTACTCGCAAAATAAAGTTAAATTACAATTAAACTCAAGTGAAGAATTGTATTAAGACGTTTCAGACAGTTTTTGTTTTAGGCTGTGGTTTCTTTTTATTGTCGTATGTCCATCCAGAATTTAAACACTCGTGGTAAGCAGACTTAAACTACACGTTTTCATGCCCCCACTCCATACGCACGTAATTTACACACTTGCATGTGTATATGTATGTGTATGTGCATAAAAATGGCTGCTCACTTGGGCTAGTCTAGTCATCAACGTGAAGTAACATACATACATACATATGTACATACAAACATACATATTTATGTAAATGTATGGGGACGTGGGCATGAAGTACGATAATGATTAACAGATTTTGCATGCATGCATATATATACATACATAATGTTTCTTTGTTTATGTATATTTTAGACCCCTTTGCTGATGCAATCAAGGGCAATGATGATGACATTCAAGACGGACTCGTGCACATAAGAATCCAACAGAGGAACGGTCGTAAGACATTGACCACTGTTCAGGGCTTATCCGCAGAATATGACTTGAAAAAAATAGTCCGCTCCTGTAAAAAGGTCTTATATTGATTTTAGATCTAAATTTGAATATAAGTAATCGAGTAGTTTTCTTCTTTGTCTAGGAATTTGCTTGCAATGGGACTGTAATTGAACATCCAGAGTATGGTGAAGTTCTGCAATTGCAGGGCGATCAACGAGAAAACATCTGCCAATGGTTGACCAAGGTGGGACTAGCGAAGCCTGATCAATTGAAAGTTCACGGCTTCTAAACTAAATGCCAAGGGAAAAACAAAACGTGTGGATATCCATACAATTTTACACTACACACATACCTACACACTCATATATAAATATATTTATCTAACTTGCTAAAGTTCTTGTTCCGATTAACTACAAATCTCTTGATAAAAAGAAAAAAAAAAAAACATATAAAGACAAAAGCAATAGACCATTAACTGCGAACAATGTTAATCATACAAGTTAAATAAAATTAAATGTTCATTTTAATTAAGTAACCGTGTGTATAGCATCTATTCGAAATATATAAAATCATATTGGTCGATTTCAATATCCCTCGTAAGATTTGTATTCTAACAGTTAATGACAGCTACTAGGTCACATCGGCGTCCACTCTGAAGCCGCCATATTGATGACGTATTTCAAAAAATATCGAAAGATACGATACCTATGAAAACCAATTAATAATAATATTGATATTTATTAAATTTTACTGTCATGGTGATTTTTTATTGAGCGTTAAATAATTAAGTAACTAAGAGAAAATGTTGTCATCGAAAGTAGTGCATATCGCAGATGAATCGATATATTTATGTTCAAATAGTAACTTTAATATATTATCATTTTAATTTTACTAATATTTAAAATCAGTCTAAATTTAATAGCAATTAAAATTGTATAGACGCCAGCTCACATATTTAAGCGGGCTACTGTCCATAAATACATATGTCGAATTAATAAGCTTGGCATCGACCGTCTATCATCGATATATTTTGAGCCATCGTACTTCAATCTTTCTTTCACCAAAAACTGACATTGTCTATCGCTCAGCCACCACAATCACACATTGTAGTTTTGACGGCAGCAGCAAAAATTGTAACTCACAATTTAATTTATTTAATTCATTAGATGCACAAATTAGGCTGTGTATTTCATAATTTTTGTTCGTAAAAAATCAAAACGTATTATTTTGTGTACGCGGACTACAGGGAACATCTAGAGTTTTGAATAGCTATAGCAATCGCAGTTGCAATCGCTACGAATGCTCTAGCCAGAACACACATAACAAGTGGTTTTCAATTCATTTCGACGGTGTATCAGAAGAGCTGCAACCAAAAATAAATAATTTCTGGAGAAGGAAAATATTTATCTACGTGGTAAGTGAAGTTGTTTGTGTTGTATTTTTTGTCTGTGATATCTATTCCCTTGGTGACATTTAATCGCCCTAGCGTATGCATTTAGTTCAATTAGCAAAAAAAGAAAAAAATATATATATATTAAGTTCTCATAATTCATTTCCAACGTTCCAACCCAGCGCCACTAAATTACGTGTGCTTTGCCATCGATAATAACAGAAACAGCATTCAAAAAAGTTATAGATTTAAAAACTATAAGAGAATCTCAAACTCATTTGCCATTCAATATTCAAAAAGCGTGCGCCTGTCCTGCATTTTGTTCTCCTCTTTTTTTTTTTTTTTTTTAGCTTCGCTTTCTAGTTGTCAGTTGATTTTTGTATGTTTTTCGCCGCATGCAACCGTGCCAACATTTGGTGTATCGAAACGTTTGACAAAAGGAACGGGCGAAAGTTTTTCTATAACGATGAGACGTCAAATTTTTGGCTTTATAAAAAAATTTTCGCGTGACGAGTTCGTTGTCGATAATAACTAAATAATATTATTTGAAACATTTGCAAATATCAAGTGCTTCATTTGAACGACTTTTGCTGGTGCGGCGGTGCAACTGAGACGTCAGAAAATAACAACAAAAAAATCAATTGCTGGTTCGGTAGTCGGGCTAAATTCAATTTTAATTCTGCGTATATTTGAGTGCAAAAAAAAAAAAAGAAAAGAACAGCCAAGGGAAGGAGACAAAGAAGAAAAGCGAAAATAGCCACGGAAAAGAAAACTAAATGAGAACAAAAATTAAGTCATTGAAGCCACAGACACGGAAAAGTAGACGACGACAACGACGGTCGAAGTTGGAAGAAAATGAGGCACGAGCCGAGATGAGAATATGAGAGAAGACTGCAATTGTTCAGCATTATAAATAAATAAATATAATATTAGCAGAGGAAGA